CCCCCCCCCCCCCCCCCCCCCCTTCAAAAAATCCTGTATCCGCCCCTGGATACATTCGATGACAAGATGAAACATATATGGCTTTCTCGCATTTAAAAATACAATGCTATTTTGACAAGTCGATATAGCGTAAAATGATTATTATTGTGAGAGCGATGTTTGTTTATCGTTAATTAATGTTTTACTTAAGATGAATGCTACCATATAAATTAATAGTTTATAACAATATCCCTGTATTGAATCATCCTCTTAATTTCATGTTGGATGAAACTGTACCGCGGGTAGACCATTATACTTCTCTTGACTGGATACATATATAGCTCAGTCGGTAAGAGCCTGGTAAGTCTAGGGTTCGAATGCCGGTCTAGCCCCACTGTATTGTTTGACATTCAGAACACTTATTGTTTTTTTTGTTAATCTCGTCCCTATTGTTTCCATAACAGTCAACAAGGTATAATTTTCTTTTCAGAAATGATTTATCAAAACTGGTTTTCAGTACAAAGCTACAGTTTTCGGCAGCGCTACAGGGATCCTTTATTCACTTGCTTCAACATTACGTTTAAAACCATAGCTTGCGACGCTCTTTACAGAATAACAGTCAGTCGAATTGAGTATTTGTAATCAAAAATATAAATAAGCAACGAAAACAGAAAATCAAGTGGGCGAATTAAGGACGTATTCTCTGCCACATTACAATATTACTGTCGAGTAATTGTATATGCACGGTATCAAAATGAGATTGATACCTTACAACGGTACGTAACCTCAAGCCAGATAAAACACTGTTAGCTTTATCTTCTGCCAGAGCGAATATTCATATAGTCGGAGTCGTAAAAACACCCTTGAAGTGTAGTGCATCGAGGTTACATCAGGTTCAGTGGGAATTAGAACCTAAACTGAAATACGACTTTATTTAGAATTTGTTATTTTGACTATATCACGTTACATTAAGCTATGTTGTAAGTCATTTATTTGTATAATTATTGACATCTTTGTATAATGCGAATGATTATGTGTTGATTATTGTTTAGGTCAATTGCAAAGAACCGGACAGGGCTGAAGAAGCTTGGAGTGACCCACCTACTGAACGCTGCCCAGGGGAAGACTAACTTCCATGTTAACATTAACTTTGAAATGTTTAAACGGGTTGATATCAGCTATTACGGGATTGAGGCGATGGATCAAATGAACTTTCAGTTGACACCATTTTTTGATAAATCGGCTGAGTTTATCCAGAAAGGTATCGATTCTGGGGGTAAGTATATGTAGCAACCTTTTGCGTGTGATATAAATTAATACGCAATTATCAAAAATGTTCATTATTGTCTTTTGAACCGTCACTCGTAGAGTCGAATACGTTATGACGGTTAACATACATTTACATATGAATAGAAAAATAAATAGTAGTTTCGTGGGTATTGTACCCCTTACTTACATAGATTTCAAAAATAAGAGGAGTATTTATTCCGATATATAATTAGCAAGCGTGTAGGTTAGAAATCATTGCACTACTCGAAAGAGGTGACAAGACGAAAATAATGTACAGGCTGTTTTGTAGTAACCTGTCTATAAATGTGTTGTATGTAATTATTCGTCAACTGTTTATTTTATTTTCAGGGAAGGTGATGGTGAACTGTAAAGTAGGCGGGAGTAGGTCGGCTACCCTGGTTCTTGCCTACCTCATGATAAAACATCATTTAACAATACAGGATGCAACACGATTGGTCAGGTCTAAACGAGAAATTTGTCCGAATGACGGTTTCTTGCAACAATTATGCGATCTCAATGAAAAAATGAATAAGACTGGACATTTTGACCATAAACCAGAAGAAATCTCCAAAACTGAGGAAAACGTATAATGAAGAAAAGATGAAAAAAAAACATTATTTTAGCCCGGTTAATGAAAGTGTACTGTTGAACAATAATTACATGATGAACGTCTCGAGAAAAATACAGGATTTACAGGAATCGTTTATGAAATTGTTTACCTGTTCAACAGTTCTGTTCGGAATAATATACTGATGAAGCTACCGACAGCATCTACACAATTCTCAGTTTAACCCATCAACAATTTACCATGTCACGGACGCTAGAGTTGAAAATGTTTTTCTCGTGAGTTTCGTAGGCTTTAACAACCAATAAGTCGTAGGAATTGCAAACATTATCATCTCCTCATTTGAAGAGTTCAATGTAATGCAATGGTCACGTCTCGTCTACTAAAATATTCTTTCTACCAGAACATTACGATTATTGTTGTCTCTTATATAAAAAAAAACCTACGCGGATTAATCTATAGTTGTGGTATTTATAGATTATCCCACTGAGTTTTCGGGGTTTGTCGTGAGAACCATGTTCTCATCGCGAGCACGTGGATAGAATCGAGAGAGTACCGCAGGTGGACTTGATAGATGGGCTGGATCAAAAGCTAGTGAAACATATTTGTTATTACAGAAGTCACTGTAAGATATTCAGTTTAGACATGTTTTTCAAAGCATGTCCATAAATGACGACACATTGTACTAAAAGTTTAAAAACTGAAAGGTTGAACGCATTTGGTACTGGGTGAGGTTTGTGTGCGGTCCCGGCATAGGGGTAGGACATACCTTCAAACTTCAGTTATACAAACGACGCTGTCATGTTGATTTGGAAATTGTATGGACACATTTGTTGTTTCGTTAAGCTACTATAATATAAATGCTACTATTTAAATCAGCTAGCATAATTAATGTTCAGAGACTGTAGCTTGTTTTGTTGCATTATTTTAAATCACAAAAAACAGCAATTACATATATACTTATCCAAACCGGATACCACTCATTTCCAATATTCCGTTGATTGTAGAATAACTTTTGATAGATTATTCTGTTGCATTCCATCTTGGTTGAACATGTCTATACACACACTTAGATCAAGTCATTATCTAAGTTATAGAATATCTTGTTTACGTTCTATACATATTTCTCTGTGAATGTTACGAACTGCTAGTATTTGGAACACCCCGGTGTCATGTGATCATCCGTGTCACATGACGCCGCGTCATAAATCGGGTACCTCTTGGTGGTTTTATGGGGTTCAGTGTAATATAAACCATAATGCTGTGCGAAATAATAGCCAAAACTAGAAATATCATACCGACGAAGCAATACATCCAAAAAGCATCACATGATCAAGCTGCAGAAGAAGGGTCATTTGTCTACGTTACCCTTGTCTTTGAGGCGTCAATTTTGTTATGTTGAATTGAAGTGGAACGTTGAACTTCACCTCAAAGACTTTCACCATTTACATACATTATATACAGTTAATCCTTACAGCGTTTATATTTGCATTTTAGAATACCTTGACCTTCGGCTTTAGTATCTTGATCAGACACCAATAGACAACTATTAATTCATGCAGATAGCATCACTTGATACTGACATTGTGCTTCATCTACTCGTAAGAAGTGTATGCAAGCTTCCTGAGGACTTTGACCCTACATCGAGCAACAGCCAGTGTCAATTGGTAATTTTTACCCGCCCCCTGACTGCCTGCAGTTTATGAGTGCAGTTGAGCGGAATGATAGCTGACTTTTTCTGATTCGGCACAGTGCAGCTTGGCGAGGTTACTGCCATGAATCCGTTAGGGATCCCGGAGTGGTCTTTTAAAGATGGCGGCAGTTACAGACAGCAGAAGATAGGTGTCCATTTCAAACCTGAAAAGCTGTTGTTTTTAATCATGATCTGAGCACGGCATGTAGCAACGTGAACCTGGAAGTTTGCAAACAACACGTTGGCTATCAGTAGCCATCAAATACTTCCAAGAGTACTCTCAAACCAATCACAAAGTTGTACAACGTATTGATTTCACCAGCGAGGCTTGAAACGCCGTTTATATATGGTCCTTTCTAAGTATATGCTTATTTTTGAAAGATTTCCCACATCAGTCTAGATCCCTAATTGGAGTAGTGTAGAAAGTATGGGTTATTTATAACTAAACCCTATACAATAAGAGAAAAACAAATCGTTAAAATTAGTGTATGTCAAGAATTGGTCTCTAGACAATTATGTTTGATTTTGCAATAGATGTTAAGGATTGGTCTCGTGTTTTTGTCAAGGAATGGTCTTCAAATAGGGTGAGTAGGCTCTAAATCAACGAATTAATTGTGCTATAAATACTCCATAATATGGTATGGTTGGAATGATATACATCACGTTTGTCATAAATTCTAATTGAAAGGTGTCCATTGTTGGCATGTTTAAGAAGTAAATAGAGATAAAAAGTCAAGTGAGCAAGAGTTATAACACACTGCCTGTGCAAATATGTGCGTACTTAATGCACCATTGGAGTATTGCAGTGTCAACATGTACTTCTCTGTCTCAGATCCTATATCAAA